GCGGGGGGTCTCGCATGCCCGGGCCTGAGCTCTGCTGCACCCGGGAAGGCGGGATGGTCACTGGACCAGCCTGCCGCCCAGCCACCCTGACGCCCTCCTGTCGGACCCGAGCCCTGATCACCAGTGATTAGAGACAAATAAACGACAGCGGGGGCTCCGGGAGGCCAAACAACTTGCCTCAAGGTCACAGCGCCGGGGAGCAGGCCCACCCGATGTGGGTCCCCACATCCAGACCCTCCTCACCTAAAGTGGAGACCCCTGAAGACAGGGGGCCGGTCAGCTCTGACCGTCCACGGGAGAGGGAGTGTGCACGGCCCACCCCAGCCCGTGCTCCTCAGCTGTGCAGGCCGGGGAGGTATCACCGCCTGGTCCTCGCTGAGGTCGGGACAGAAACTGAGATGCCTCCCCAGTGACGAGAGCGACTGGACGTCTGCAGAAGCTAATCATCAAGGGCTGGGGCAGGTATAGCCACTATGGAGAACAGTATGGAGGTTCAACACAGACCTACTAGAGCATAGACTTGAGGATATGGGGAGGGGGGAGGGTAAGCTGTGACAAAGCGAGAGAGTGGCATGGACATATATCCACTACCAAACGTAAAACAGATAGCTAGTGGGAAGCAGCCGCATAGCACAGGGAGATCAGCTAGGTGCTTTGTGACCACCTAGAGGGGTGGGATAGGGAGGGTGGGAGGGAGCGAGATGTAAGAGGGAAGAGATATGGGGACATATGTATGTGTATAACTGATTCACTTTGCTATAAAGCAGAAACTAACACACCATTGTAAAGCAATTATACTCCAATAAAGATGTAAAAAAAAAAAAAAAAACTAAAAATAGAACTACCACACGACCCAGCAATCCCACTCCTGGGCATATACCTGGAGAAAACCATAATTCAAAAAGATACATGCACCCCAATGTTCATCATAGCACTATTTACAATAGCCAGGAAGCAACCTAAATGTCCGGCAGATGAATGGATAAAGAAGATGTGGTGCATATATACAATGGAATATTACTGAGTCATGAAAAGGAATGAAATAATGCCACTTACAGCAACATGGATGGACCCAGAGATTATCATACTGAGTGAAGTAAGTCAGACACAGAAAGACAAATATCACATGATATTGCTCATATGCGGAATCTTAAAAAAAGGGAACAAATGAACGTATTTACAAAGCAGAAGTTAAGTCACGGATGTAGAAAACAAACGTGGTTACCAGGGGATAACGGGGGGGAGGGATAAACTGGAAGACTGGGGTGGGCGTATACACACTACTGTATACAAAATAGATAACTAGTAGTAAGAACCTGCTGTACAGCACAGGGAACTCTATACTCAATACTCTGTAATGGCCTATATGAGAAAAGAATCAAAAAAAGAGTGGATATATGTATAACTGATTCACTCTGCTATACACCTGAAACTAACACAACATTGTAAATCAACTATACTCCAATAAAAAGTTTTTTTTAATTAAAAAGAACATTTTTTTTAAAGGCTCGGGGGTGGGGGGGTACCTACCCAGCGATCCAATGGTTAAGACTGCCCTCCAATGCAGGAGGTGTGGGTTCGATCCCTGGTTGGAGAACTAAGATCCCCTATGCCGCGGGGTGCGCCCAAAAACTAAAGAAAGGCTGGGGCAGTATTCTGTACATTTTTTCTCTCCATTTTCTTTTTCTAGCAATTTGTTTTTATTGTATTTCACCAAGTAACAGGTTGAGAAGCTGAGAAGCGTAGCTCCAGACAGGAACAATGGGCTGGCCTCAGGCAGCTGTGGTTGCGGAGACGGAGGACAAGAACACTGACCAGGGCAATGTACCAGCGTGGGGCCCAAGCGGATGCAGATGTGGGAGCGGCCAGAGCACATGCAGTCTCCACTGTGGCCTCCCTGATGTCCGGCTAGACTCAGCTACACCAGAGGTAGGGGGGTTTGCGTGCGGCCACGATGGTTCTCAAAGCTGGCAGCGTACCTGAATCCCTGGTAAACTTTTAAAAACAACTGAAGCCCAGTGTGCACCGCAGACCAATGAACTCCCTCTGGAGGTGGGCACAGGCACTGGTCCTAGAAAGATCCTCAGGGCAAGGCTGAGAGCCGCTGGCCGGGGTTGAGTTTTTCAGGAGGGCCGGGGGCCCCGGGTGGCCAGACACAGGACCGCAGGAGGCCAAGAGGGAGAAAGGTGCCACAGACATCACTGGCCACTTGGGAATCTGTCTAGAGCCAGTCCTGGACAAAGGACACTGTTTCCACCTACTCTCCTTCTCAACCCCAGCACCCAACACCCTCAGCCGCAGCTGCAGACGCCAGCTCTGCTGCATCACCGCAGGAATGGTCGTCTGTGGATAACCTGGCACCTAGCACTTGGTTTCCTTCTCCAAAAAGTTCCACCTTCCAAGTGACTTAAAATGACAATTCAGAATGCAGTTCCCGCAAAGGACCACAGACGTGGGGAAGTGAAAACAAATGCAGGATCTTTGAGAGGAGGGTCTGGACGGGAGCCCTGGCCCTCCCCTTGGTAGTGCCGTCCCCATGGGTTACGGACCATGGCTCCGAGGGCATGATCTTCCCCTGTAACACGGGGCCATCACCTGTCCTGACTGCTCACAAGGGCTGCATGGGGATCAGACACCAGGGAAATGCAGTAGAAGGACCTGTGACCTGATGGTCCTCACCAGCTGTGCCCAGCACGTTCTTCTGTGAGGCATATAGCAAGGGGCTTAACAAGATGTTTCTCGGGCTTCCCTGGTGGCGCAGTGGTTGAGAGTCCGCCTGCCGATGCAGGGGACACGGGTTCGTGCCCCGGTCCGGGAAGATCCCACATGC